TTTTTACTTTTGCCTTTAAAGGGGGCCCCCCCCCCCCCCCCCCCCAATCCCCATCACACAATATTACATTGTTTGCTTATAATAATACATGTCACATGATTTATATCGTGCAAATCTGTGTTACAATCATTGTTCTATGTACTTTACATAATATTTATGAAAAACATGCATACACCGATGTATTGCACTTAATAATATATGTGATGCAGCGTGGTGGAATCAGGCTCTCGTCAATTTTTGGGCAAGTAGAGTTATTGGTATCATCTTAAAGCTTGTTCAATTGTCTTTATTTGGATAAAAGAAATATCTATTTATCTGGAATACAAGTCGAGATATTTGCGAATGAAGGAGGTGGGGTCACCTGTTTTCAGAGGTAAAATTAGTGAGAAAATGGCGGCCAAAGACTAATTTCCTTAGCTTTAGAGTCCGTGGTAACTGGAAATTTTCATTTTTTTATGCCTTAAATCAACGTTTTTCAGAAAAATCCACACAGATATGAGTTCTTTAATGGACATGAAAGGTGCTGTGTCAAAAAAAAAATTGATGAAAATTCACAGACCTGTGGAAAAGTGCAAGTTTCTTCACTTTGATTATTATGACGAGAGCCTGATTCCACCACGCTGCCTCACATATACAAATATGCAGTTCTACATTCAATTTAAAAAAATAAAGTAAAACCAAAAATAGTAAATCATTCAAGCAAAATATTGTATACACTCTTTCTTACCAATAAGGGGAAAAAAGAGGTCAATGTCAAAAGCACCTTGATTACAAATAACACAAATTGCAGTGGAATTCTGATAAAGTCAACACCTCGGGACCGAAAAAAAGTTGAAATTGGAAATTGATGAAAACAGCTACAAAATTACAAAGTACCTAGTAAAAAGATGTTTGCTCAATTTAGCGAGTATAATTCTGAAGTTATCACCAAAACACGAGATAATGAGTGAACAAAGCAATTGGAGGTGTGTACACCACTAACTCAGGACCTAAATATCTCTTCTTAAATGAATTCATCTTGGAATCTCGCCCCAAATTATTGACTTTACGCCAGGGTAACACTCAAGCGGTTGACTGTATCAGAAACACAATTACTTAAACAAAGAAGATAAGAAACGGGACCACGGTGAGGTGTTGACTGTAAGCGAGAGTTGACTGTAAGCAAGTTGACTTTATCAGGATTCCGCTGTATCTGTTATTACCGATCATTATGCCAAAGACAAAAGGTGAAGTTAGTTATCATCAACAGATGCAATGTTCATTTTTACGTCAAAAATATTTTTAAAATCAGGGGCATCTGCTGAGCTGTCTTCCAAATCTGGGTCCTGTTCCTTCTCTTTCTCCTCTTCCTCTTCTTCTTCATCCACCTCCATTTCTTCCTTCGTCCTGTGTAAAGCCCTGTGCCTCTTCAATGCTGCAATACCTGGAAAATACGTTCCCCATCCCTTGTAGCCTGTGCACTCTTTGGCCTATGAAGCCTTTCTTACACTTTTCTTACAGGAGCCAAAAACATAATCTTACACCTGGAAAGGGGGGGGGGGGAGGAGGTCTTTGGCTCCTGTAAGAAAAGTAAGAAAGCGTGTGTGAGGGGGGGGGGTCTTGATACAAAGTAATATTACACTTTTGTGTGATGAAAAAAGTGTGGTGTTGGTCAAGAAAGGCTGCATAAGCCAAAGAGTGTGCACAGGCCACAAGGGATCTTTCCCTTTTCTTACAGGTGCCAAAGACATAATCTTACCCCTGGAAGAGGGAGGGGGGGGGTGTCTTTGGCTGCTTTAAGAAAGGTGCAAGAAGGGGGGGGGGTCTTGAACACAGGCCACAAGGGATGTAGAAAGTATTTTCCAGGTATTGCAGCATTGAAGAGGCACGGGGCTCTTTACCCCGGAAGAAATGGAAGTTGGGGGAGAAGAAGAAGAAGAGGAAACGGGGAAAGAGAGGAACCGGGCGGAATACACGGACAAAGGAGCCCAATTTTTAAAAAAGGTCCCCGAAGCGCTCTCTGATTTAAAAATATTTTGGACGTAATGATGAACACTGACTTTGTTGATGATAACTAATTTCACCCTTTTGTTTTAGCCAATGAGAAGTAGTAACTGGTACAGGGAAA